GGGGGGGGGGGGGGTTGGTACGCTCCTGGCGATTCGGATGCTAGTGGTCTTGGTGTAACGGGGGTTGTGCATGAGAGCAGAATGGAAAGGCATGCACGGACGAGGCACATGGATGTCAGGATGCATGAATGCTGAGGATGAGGTGGATCTGTTCCGGAAGCTGCTATAGGCAGATCAGCTAGACATTAACGTGCTTAGTGCCTGCACAGGGCGCAGATATAAAACTGCTGCCCATGTGGACGTATATACATATACGCATATTTGGTGCACTTACGTATGAGTCGCGAAAAGAAGAATTCTTTATTTTCTGCGGTCTTATGCACTCTGGTTTCCTCAAAACAAGGAAAATATCGAAAACCTTGATATTTTGGACGTGATATATCCCGCGATATACACGTGTATGCTCTCGCCTTTGTCACATGCAGTGTCGTGTTGTGTTTGTTATGTTGTTATGAGAAGTGTGCGTTACTTTATTTACGCTTTGCTTGCCGGGAATTATATTGGAGAAGGTAACCGAAATTGAGAAAAATCTTTACGTAAAGGTGAATATTCATGAAAAATATTGCGGACCTGACTTCTATATAAACTTTTTCTTTATAGCATTTCATTAATGAATTCGAAAGTGGTGCTTAATGGAATTCTTGACAAACAATTGAAATTCTTTTGCCGTCATCATGTTTTATTAAGAAGTAGAGAAGTACTTCAGCTTTATCGGGAATTATCCATCCAATTAGAAATTTTAATATTTGTAATTTTGCAGATGCTCGACTCGTTATTAATAATCACGCAGCAAGTTGTTCGATGTGCTTTGCAATTTACGTAAGGAAAGGAAAAAGATGTTCCTCCGTTCGAGAGTTCACGTTTCCGTAATTAAAAAAAAAAAAAAAAAGAAAAAAAAAAGAAACCGATACGACCGATTATTTAATAAAACACGTATTATAACCCGTAAGAATAGTCCATCTAATATGTAATCCTATCTGACACGGTGCCATCGAATAAACGATATGAAGCAACTATAAAAGTATTCAACGTAAATATGCGAAAGATTACGCAACGTAAAGTCTGCGCTGTCGCGCTTGAGCTTCGCAAAATCTCACAGCGATGTAATCACAACGAGTGCAGCGTAGCTTTACCTAGATACGCTATGTATTGGCTCACATGTAGAGATCGATTTCCTGTATGGTCTAGGCACACAAGTGGGTAACACACATAGCTATAAGTATACCCCAGTACGCACACGTATCACCCGTAGCCTGTGTTACCGTATCGCATTGACAAATACGGGCGGAAGATCTATATGCATGCATATATATTGTAACGTGGCGTCAGGACGACACGTTACAGAAGCCCCGCACCTCCGCGCGCTGCCGGCAGCACGGCAGTGCCTCCAGCCTCCATCTCCAAAGAGTTCGTAGGTCCGTGGTTGGGAGGAGGGAACGGGGGAAAGTAGTGGACTGGCGGCGGAGGCACGTAGCCCTTTTGGGTTGAGAGCCCGCAAGCAAGGGGTGCTCAACCGCCAGGACGCACTGCCGGTACCCCGGGAACTTTGATCGGCTACGGTTTGCGGGTCCGCGGGGAGGGCGCCGGAGAGGAGATTTGTTTTGATTTTTGACCTACCGCGAAGAGCGGTAGGTAGGATAAAGAGAGTGTGTCGCGGGGAGTCCGCGTGTAAGGACACGGGTGGCTAGAAATCACGACTCGGAATAGTCGTGAGCCGCCGTTGGAGGACACACTGTACGCGACCGGATTTGTATTGTAAAATCCGCCGTTTATTTGATGGTAATAAACGGAACGGTATCCTACTCGCTGTCTTATCATTTTTGCGCGCCTATCCGTTGACTCCAAAATTCTCTCTCGTCGCCCCCATGTTCCCCTCTACCATTTTCAGTGCGCTGAGGCTGAGCCGCCGGGAAATCTGAAAACGGCCGTGGTGAGGGATGGTGGTGCGGGAAAGCCGCACCTGGCGCCCAACAATTAGATCTTCGGATCTTTTCTTTGATAACAGCACGTTGGGAGCAGCCACGGATTATTTGTAGGCGACGCCGATGAACGGTACACGTCACAATATATATATATATCTATAGACATACGCGAAGGAGGTTAACGCGTTACGCGGCTGTATTAGCCGCTCGGCAGCATCTAGGAACTATAGGGACCAGGAAAGCACTCTGTGTTGGATTCTTATCGTAGCCGTAGCAGGTCCTTAGCGGCTCGTCCAGGTCCTCGTAGACCAGGACGGGGTCGGGAGAACGACAATGTCCTCGAGGGCAATTTCGCTGCTATCTCCTATAGCACGGGAACACCTGTTCGTATCGTCCAGGATTCCGGGAGTCGCCCGTTGGATGCTGCTTTTCTCACGGGTCTGGCTTTTATGTTTCAGTCCCACCGTCGAAGCCGATAATCTACGACGCCAAGAGGAGGGACATGAGCAAGCTGCTGGAAGCGTATGCCGAAGGTGCAGACCTTACCCTCGTCTGCGAGGTTCACGGAGGTAAGGGAAAGCCCCTGTGTTATTATAATACATTACGTTGGAGACGAGTTACCGTGTTGCTTCCGCTCAAGAGGTTTCTTTATAGTTGCCTGGCAGAGGGCTGGGTCCTGTCTCTGAAGTCATCCTTACTTTGGGAAGGATAACGAGGGGAAAGACGCGAAGGGGCGGCTAGGGAGTAAGAGACGTGGGGAAACAGCTCTTGGAAAATTTCAGGCAAATTGAAAACACCCTACGGAAAAGTCCGGAGAATTTGCGTTAGTCGGTGACAAACTACCCTCTTCACGATCACCACTTCGTCAACCACCCGATATTCTTATCTTTTCGGTTTCATCCATTTTCTCGGTGCCTCCTCCAATCCCCCCCCCCTTCCTCTCCCTCCCCCTCTCTGCTATCGATAAATTACTTTCACTCTCACTCCATTGGCTCCGTTGCCGGTAGTTTGTTTTTTCTTTTTTTTTTTTTTAAATTAAACGTGACGGATCTTCTCAATCTTCCAGGGAATTTGATGAAGGAATTTCACCTGTACTCCGTATTGTACTGTCCCATTACCCGTGCTGATCTAGCGGCATTAGAGGGTAATCTTTCCCTTAGATCGGTTTATTATCTACCCTAGACTTCTCTATTGTCTGCGCGCGTGCAGCCTGCAATCTCTTGAACGTCGTGACCCTTTAAGGATCACCGTCAAACTGTCAGAAACCACGAGGCCATCTTACACGTCACTTACGGCTGTGGTCTCAGTTAATTAGGATATCATAGCGTCGCAATTAATTTGATCCAGCGCACATACGTACTCGTCCGATGATCGAAGCGAACCAGAAACGATCGGGTTTCCCGCAAAGCGAATTAGGCAAAGTGGACCATACGTCATCGTTTAAAAAGTCGTTAGAGTCGACAAGCAGGCATCCGTCACACTCGATCAATTTGCGCCCTTGGAGACAAAACCTCGGGCGAGCCTGCCTTCTTCCATTCACTTTCATCCTTACGGAACCTTTTTGTCCCTTTTATCCTCAGGGAAATTCGAGGGCATTTTTTATTATTATTCCGGAAGCCGCCGGAAGTCACCGGCGACGCTGGGATCGTCAGAGGAGTGTCCCACCCTTCGACGGCATCGGCGCTCCTCCAGCAGTTGCAATTAATTGAAATTGGATCGAAAAGAGTCAGAGGTCATAGTTCACCATCGTGCGTCCAACTGCGTCGATGAGAGCAATGATGCGATTCGGCCTTGAGCCTTAGGCACATTCAAAAGTGGCGATAAGGTGGCGATAAGGTACAAGTAGCAAATAGAGTGGGCCCGATCCTTAGGTCGCAATTTCACGAGAAATTGCTCGTGTACGAGCGCGAGAAAGGGAATCCTGCCAAGGATATCGCATTGGCATAAGTCCAGGGAATTCGGTCTGCGCGGTGCAACATTTCGCGCGAGGAGCGTCGTCGCCTAAAAAGCCGGCTGTGAGATTCTTTCGAGTGAGAGAGAGATGCAAGGCATGATGGGTGCAGAGAGCAACCTTCTAAATGGAATTGGCATGACTCCAGAGAATCCGTTGACGAAGGAAATGGGATTTTTCACTTAAAACGCAAAATTCTCTGGTCGGATAGAGCTAGAAAAAATCAGTGCTCCAACGGATTTTCCAAACCTTTTTCAAAAATGCAATTATAGCTGCAAGCGAGAACGGGGAAATTATCAAGTATAAGCTCTTGATACATGGCACACGGGTCATGTGTAGGGAAAACGCGTAGTCGATACGGGATTCAAAATGAAAGAAAAATGAAGGCTGTTATCTGGATAGTTCAAGATATTCCTATAGATTATCAATATTATCATGCATAGCTGTGTGATATACCTATAGTATAGGGAGGGCTCTCTTTAGTACGAAAAACGCTGACGATTACTCCCGAGCGACTAACAACTTGGTTATCTTCCAATCTGTAATATTAATAGGAGCTTCGCTTATCGCTGACGAAGCACCGCGAAGTATCTCCCGTGTTGTGGCACAATCCTAAGGGATGCTGTGTGGATCCTCACGGTGCCGTGTTTGTCCCTGCCGTTCCTGCTGTTTCGCATTCAGCCAATGGATCGATTTTACGAAAACATCGACGCTTCTCACCCCTGATTTCAATGAGATTAACGGTAGAAAAACATTGGGAAAAAGCTCCAAGCGAAAAGGTTCGATCGAGCGAGCTTCGCTTAACGCGCATTCGGCCTGGTACGTGTGTTGCTCTGTGATTTCTATAGGTGATCGTGTGTGCGTATCTCGATGTTCCCCCTTTTAAATTCTTGGGAATCGTTAGCGCGCGCGCGCTCACCTTCAATTTGCAAATGCAGCCCACCCACAGTCCCTGTCAGCTGTTCAAGCGCTTCGTTCGATAAGCTCTTAACGAACCCTTCCTGCAGACCCGCATCAGACTTAATGATTTGGTGCAAGAAGTACGCAGCTAAGGAAACATGTGAACTTACAGTGCGTGACGTAGCACAGTGCACAGGGTAGGTGTTGGATTCCTGGAAACCCAGAAAATCAACGTAGCGTTGCTTGGCTACCAAATTGGAGGCGAAAGGCTAGTTTGTTTCACGTATTTATCGCTCCACTACATATAGTGTATATCGTGTACACGGAGAACGCTTCCAGAGTCAGATATAGAGATATGCATGTAGCCTCAAGAGTTGGAAAGAGCCGATGCGAAGGAAAACGAAGGGGATGGAGCATAACTGCACATAGGCTGACATTTCTGGCCACAGCTGGCTTTATTATACGCGTCGGCTTCCATATGCAAAGTTAAAGTTTTCTACGGTTGGGCTGCGCGTGCGAGGGAGGTTTTAATTTATTTTATTGTCACGTAAAATCCTGCGAAATGCAGCGGCCCTGCGAATATAATCCCTCCAGTCGGAGTGTATCTCTGGCAGCCGTAACGGCAGCGCGAGA